AGAAATTATTCAAGAATGTCAGATCTGCCTCAAGTTATTTTTATTAGATAGAAACAAATAAAATCTTTGTTTTTGTAAAGGGTTTTACACAGGTTTTCTTTAGACTATAAATGACAAGGAAACAGGAACCATTTTCTACATATGTTCCAAGTAATAAGTCATATTAAATGCTCACATCAATATTTCTTCAATAATAAGCCAGCACTGTATCAAGTGCTAGAAATAAAAAACATTAAAATTCTTTCCATTATTCATTTTGAAATAAAATTTCAAGAACTATCTTTTTTGTCGTGGTGATTCTTCATCGGGTATGGATGAATGATGAGGCATAAATAACCAATGTAAAACATTCCAGAATAAAACGGTGTCCTTGTCATATGCTCATGAAATATTAGGCTCACAGACACTTTGAAGGGTGAGAAAAATAAAATTTATAAGCAAAAAGGATAAAGAGGAACCAGGGACCCTCAGCAGAGTGAGAGTCCTGCTAGCGTAGGCTTCCCGCTTCCCAGATTGAATTCCAGGTTCCATACAGGAAGGGAAGAGGCCAGGCTCTCGACACTGCAAACTGTGCGAACTTCCCGAGGCTCCACTCCAGTGCTCACTCCTCCCAGCGTGCAGGCTGTTGGAGGTTCTCTGATGACCCCTTTATACTCAGCCGCCTCATTCCTCTCTCTAAATAAGTACATCCAACTGCTGTTAGAGTAAGGATGCTGCTTCCTACTGTCAGGGGCAGTTTTGGGAAAGCAGCACTGAGTCCCCTCAGAGGCCTATCTAAGGATCCCTGGAAGAAGGGGTCATTGTCCAAACCTCCAGCTGCTTGACCATTCAACCTTTGATGGCTGAAGGTGAGACAACACACACCAGATTATTGGAAAACAGGTATCAAAACAAAATGAGCTGGGTGCAGTGGCTCACGCCTGTAATCCCAGCACATTTTGGAGGCTGAGGCAGGTGGGTTGCCTGAGGTCAGGAGTTTGAGACCAGTCTGGCCAACAGAGTGAAACCCCGTCTCTACTAAAAATACAAAATATACAAAACACTACATAGGCATGGCGGCAGGTGCCTGTAATCCCAGCTACTAGGGAGCCTGAGGCAAGAGAATCTCTTGAACCCGGGAAGTGGAGGTTGGTGAGCCAAGATCTCACCATTGCACTCCAGCTTGGGCCACAAGAGAGAAACTCTTTCTCAAACAAAACAAAACAAATCAAAGTGAATCAAAACAAGGGGAGGGGTAAGGACAGCTCAAAAGTCCCAAGGCCTTTTACCAGTTTGCACAGGAGAGGGAGGCCAAAAACCCCACTGATAAAAAGAAACTTGGCCCTTTGGCCAGCATGTTGTGCTTCTGGGTTCCCTTCCCCTGAGCCCAATCCTAAGCCAACCACTTTAAGGTTTGAAAACCTAAGTTTTCTCAATTTGGAGGATACATCTTAGAAAGTGTCCCATAGTACAGAGACAGAATTACCTCTCTGTGAAGACAGGACAGAAGGGGAGAAAGAAAAAGATGTTTTTTCAAAGGAGTCCCAGGGGTTCAGGACGGATTTCAAAGGGGTACAGATGGAAGATGGATGGCTACCCATCTAAAAACAGGGGAGCAGGCACACCTGGTTTCCTTCTCTTCCTAGCAGATATACCCTGGGTATGTGAGGAAGAGGAGGGTGTCCTCTTTCCCTCTTCTGTCCTTGCATCCCTGAGTCCCAGCAACCCTGGCAGGTGTCACCCAGAGCTGCCAAAGCAGCTTGCACTCATGAAGCAGGGAGGGCCTAGAGAATAGCAATTATCCACTCTCACCCATGTCTCTAGTCCACCTACTCTCAGTAGCCTTGGAGTTCCCTAGACCTCATTTATGCCACGGATACTACTCACCCATGAAGAGGAACAATATAATGGATGAAACTGGAGAACATTATTCTAAGTGAAGTGACTGAGGAACAGAAAACCAAACATCTTAGGTTCTCACTCGTAAGTGGGAACCAAGCCATGAGGATGCAAAGGCATAAGAATGATACAATGGATTCTGGGGCCTTGGGGGAAAGGGCAGGAGGTGGGTGAGGGATAAAAGACTGCACATTGGGTAGTGTACACTGTTCAGGTGATGAGTTCACCAAAATCTCAAAAATCACCGCTGAAGAACAAGGCAAAAACCGTTTTCCACATACGTTCCAATAATATTAAATGCTCAATCAATCTTTCTTCAAAAACAAGTCAGCACTAGTACCAAGTGTTAGAAATAAAAACATTAAAATTATTTCAATTATTCATTTTGAAATAAAATGTAAAGAACTATCTTTTTTTTTGTGGTGGTGATTTTGTTGTGGCGTAACCAAACACCTGTTACCCCAAAAACTATTTAAATTAAAAAAAATGAAAAAATTTAAAAGTCTATGACAGAGAAATAAGAGGTCTCATGAATCTGTAAGTCATATTTCTGACAGCATGCCAAATAGATTTATGTATTTATGTGCTGTGTATACAATATTTCTCTACTATAGAGAGCTCTAATTCATAGGCTTAAAGAAAAATACAAGTACATAAGTCAACCATTTTATCAATAAAAAGACTAGTCAAATGCTTTTTCACATTTATGTGACTTAAGTAAAATCTTTTATAAATAAGCTGGCTTTCAAATTATTGAGAAAGTATTAGAAATGCTGTGAAAATTTCCAGCATTGTTTGCATTTGTTGATGACGTGATTTTGTGTTTATTCCTGCAGAATACTATGAAGATTTGTTATAAGGGTTATAAAACTATACAACCCCGCCCAAGACAGAATGATCTTTGCTTGTGTAATTTTTGATAAAAAAGACATGGAATAATTTGGTTTAATGAAAACATCAACATTCTGAGTTACTGGTAAAATACCCTTATATTTAACCTTAAGAAAATTACTTAAATAGGCTGGGCATGGTGGCTCATGCCTCTAATTTGGGAGGCCAAGGTGGGGCCGATCGCCTGATGGCAGATGTTCGAGACCAGCCTGGCCAACATGGTGAAACCCTGTCTCTACTAAAAATACAAAAAAATTAGCCTGTGGGGTGGCGGGCACCTGTAGTCCCAGCTACTTGGGAGGCTGAGGCAAGAGAATCACCTGAACCCAGGAGGTGGAGGTGGCAGTGAGCCCAGATTGCACCACTGCATTCCAGCCTGGGCAATAAAAGCAAAATGTTTCAAACAAACAAAGAAAAGAGAATTACTTAAACACCTGAAATTCACAGTTATAAAAAATGGTTAACAAGGAATTTACTTTAAATAATGACTATCACAGTTTTCATCATCTAGATAAAATATTAAATAATCTTGTAAATGTAACAGAATAAATGGTTGTAAACAGACTTGTCATATGATTTGGTATCTAAGGTTATTAACAGATATTAAGTAGCTGGGTAATTTCCAACTCAAAAAATGTAGGAAAATACTTTTAAAATGTTCTTATTAGGAAGTCAATATCTTTGTCTAATTCAAAGCTTTTATAAAAGTTATGTATAAAATGAGGTAATAGGAACCAGGAAATAAAAGAAGAAAGTTAAAGATATAAAGAGGTATTTTTGATAAAGGTGAAAAAAGGCAATTTTATATAAGAAGGAATCTTTTGTGGTAAATTTTTTGTCCTAAAATAAAATGACCAGGCTGTTCAAGAAAGAGAATATTTAGGCAAAACAAAGTCTAAGTATGTTGTGAATCATCTATGTAAATTGATAATAAGATTAGTTAATGAAAACTTTGTTTTTTTTTTTTTAGAAAACAGGGTGGTATAATTTAGTTGGATATGAGTAAGAAGAAAATCCTAATAGTCTTTCCAGAGGTGGGTCTTTTATATTAACAAAATTACACAAATACAAACTATAATTGGTTAAAACAAGACTTTATTTAAAAAATTTATTTATTTACTTATGAGACAGAATCTCACTCTGTCACCCTGGAGTGCACTGGTGCAATCTCGGCTCACTGCAACTTTTGCCTCCTGGGTTCCAGGAATTCCATCGCAACTTTGCTTAAGTTTCTCTCCTTTCCCTAGCTCCCAGACTCTGCTCTGTCTTCAGTCTGAGCCAATATACAAACCCCGTTTATGCCCCTCCTAAGAACAGGCTGACTTCTGGCTGAAACCTTCCCTAAGCTTGAATCTGATTTTGCTATTCTCCACTCTTCTTCCCATCTTCCTTCTAATCTTGTTTGCTCCTCCATAAAAAACACAGCCCTTTTCTGCCTCTTGTGAGATGCTTGCAGATCTGATGCTTGGAGCTTTCCCCATTGCAATACTCCTTTAGAATAAAGTCACGTCTTACCTACATCTGAATTTACTTGACAATATCTAGAAACAGCCTCAGGACAATAAAAATTATTCCCTCACAGAGGACGTCACAACCTCCCTCCTATTCTCAACTCTGATCATGCCTGCCTGTGCATTCTCAGCTTTCCAGCACTCTGTAGCTTCTCTCAGTATAAAGGCCCCGTCTATGACTTCTGGGGGCAGGCTGGGACACCTGAAGGGGAGGACCCTCAGGAAGAAACGACTGTGCTATTCATGAACTCCTTTGATATGCTTTAATACTAATACTGTACTGCAATTTGGGGGAAAAGAAAAAATATTTAAAAGAAACAAAAAAGTTACCTTTTAAAATCTAAAAAATTTAAACCATTGTTTAAATTTTTAAAAGACTTACATAGGCTGGGTGCCCCTGTAATCCCAGCTACTTAAAATAAAACATTTAATTAAGGAGGGAGGCTTAGGCAGGAGAATGGCTTGGACCCAAGAGGTGGAAATTGCATTGAGCCGAGATCACACCACTGCCCGCTAGCCTGGCAACAGAGACTCATCTGAAAACAAAACAACAAAAGCCCGACACAGTTCACAGCTATCAGCCAACACACTATGCAAGTATCTGTGAGTGGGCAGAGGGAGCCTTCACATTGGAGTGGTTTCTATAACTCTGTTTACATTCAAAGGGACACAAGAGTGTAAGACTGTGCTGTTGCCCTGACAAGGTCCCATTCTTTACTATAAAGTGCAATCTTAGTTGCCCGTGAGTTAACTTGAATTGAGGTATTTCTTCTTTTGAAAATACAAACTTTTCTAGTTATTTAGCAGGAGAGGTGGTATTTTCCTGTCTTTTTTGGTGAGGGGTTCAGATGTTACATTACCCTTCATTTCTTCCTTCAGGAGAGGACGGCCTTAGCGTGCTGAAGACGAATTAAGTCATCAGCACTCAAAGACCCGGTCTCGTGAGCAGTATAGAATGCTTCATCTTGATCCATCCTTGATAAAGCCTAAGAATGTCAAATAGAAAAGAGGTACAATTTTAAAAAGGGTTCCACCCTTTTAACAATCACCATTGATGAGAAGCCACACATGCAGACTCCTTTAGATAGTTCAGCTACAGCTACTTTGGCTGAGGTTTACACTGCCAACTTCTGGCAGCTTACTTAGGTCATCTCCTTTCAGGGCTAGAATTAGATTGCCGGAGCAAAGGGGAGCTTGCTTTATTAAGTTACTTAAAAACTGGGCTCCCAAGAATGTCACCGTATTGTGACAAGCTTCTAACTCTATCATCTGTTACCTGTGCACTTGTGCCTTAAAAATAACAAAAGCACACTTTTGCAAAAAGTTAGTTTATTAATCTATTCACATTCTACCCAATCTATAGAGTTATTATATACCGAAAGAAAATCATAACCAGGCAGGCATGTGCTGGATTGCATTGAAATGTCAACAAAGCCTAATGATTAAGCATCCAAAGGCACTACTTTTATGCTTATGGTAGAAAATTGTATTATTTTAAAATATTTCCACGATGCCACAGAACATGCCTATTTTAATTGTTCATCCTTGTCAGCTGTAATTTTGCTGTGTACTTACCAAAAGTCACAAACCATAAATATTTCCTTGTCCCATAAAAGTTATCATTTCCAGTAAAATCCCATGTACTTCCTGCAGCCAGTACTTGAGACACGCACACCTCATACTGTCTAAGTGCATGTCTCTCGGCTTAGGCACTAATGGTTTGTCTAACACACCCATGGGACTGACTGCACTGTGGTATACACAGTAGAAAATGACAGAAATTTGCAAACTGAGCAATAAAAAGTAGTCAAGAGTGGTAAGTGCATTATGCATGTAGACATCGTTAGACATACAATGGCAAGAAATCATTTCTGTATGATTATTTGCAAGGGCAAAGGTTCAAAATGTTCAAGTTCATTAAGAATGAATTTAATTTGATTAAAACATTCTGAATTATGGCCACAAAAGAGATAATATCTATAATTTTTAAAAAACATGAATCCTTATAAAAACCATAAGAGATACAGGAAATAGAATGCCGAAAGGCTAATAAGCTCTTCCGTATGTTAATTTTGAAGCTTTCCATTTTTCTAATCACTACTTCATATGACCTAGTCATAAATGTTGGAACTGGTGTTTGACTGAAAACCCACTTAGTAACTTCATAGCCTTACCTTCAGATCCCATGCTCTTTGTCTGTCAAGAAGGGAAGATGGCAAACTCAGGCCATGATTGAATGCCAACTCACGAAGATAGAAGTAGTGGCTCGTATACATGCCTCGAGAAACACTGAAATCATAATTAATTAGCTCCAAGAAGTCCCTTTGCAGCTCATCCCTGGGGAAGGAGAAACACAAGAAAACCAACACAGGACCATGTTAGTTCACTGGGCTATCTTCAAAAACATTATTCTTATGTAAGAAATGTGGTAAAGCTATCATGTGCTCTAGTTTATTAGAATTCATGAAATAACTCACACTGGACAGAACCCGATCTAGCAAAGAAATACAAGAAAGCATGCAATTTTCCCAATTCTCTTTGAAAACTCAGAAAAAAACTTGTACCAGAAACAAAACATGAATGTAAAAAATGTGTCAATAAACTTGATTTTCTCCTATGCTTTCAAAGACATATTCACATTTAATATGGAGAAAAATGACATAATCTTAAGAAACATGGTAAAGACTTCAGCTTTTTTATTTCTTTGAAAACATGAAAGGATTCAAAGGGAAATTCCTAATAGAAACATGTGGTAAGGTCTATAGTTGTTTCAGTTCCACACGAAGATAAGAACTCATTTCTGAAATAAAACTTATGAATGTATAGAATGTAGAAATGCCTTCATTTACATGATATTTTCTCCAAGACCCATGATAATACACACTGGAGACAGACCTTATAAATATAAGAAAGCACGTTGGATTGGAACCCGGGTAGATTACCAAATACAGAAAAGTTTACAGTTTTCAGAATTTCTTCAACATTGATGTGAAAACTTTCCCTAGAGGGAAACCCTACGAATGTTCATAAATTGAAAAGCTTGATGCAAATTCATTCTTGTATAATCTTCAAAAAGATACATAAGTAAATGTTATCCTACTTCTATTTTGTTTCTCAGTGATTCTTCATTTGAAAGGGTCTCTGTATTACTTCCGCTTCTTTTGCAAGAAAACATTGAGGTTACAATTTTGTAGATAATTTTTAAACAATACTATATGCATTTAATAGGCAATTGTTTTTGTTAAGTCAGATAACAAAACTTTTCTCTAGTTATTTTAAAATATCACATTGAGCTACTAGAATGGCTCCAAATTCTGTTTTGAAACACATGCAGGTGGGTTCCTACGCTAATGTCCAAACAGGGCACAGCTGCTTGCAGTCCATTCTGAATCCAGCACCCCAAGTTTGGGATGAGGAGAAAGGTGACGGCCTCCTCTATACTTGTGCAGCTGACTCGGGGCTCATTCTTGAGCATTCCATTGTACAACTCAGACTTCATGCTCACTCCCAAGACACCACAATAGTGATCAGATGACAGAAATGATGAATGCCATTTATTAGCTTCCACTATTATGGGGCAGGAATACTCTTTACACCTCCAACAGTAGAAAGATCAGAGAGAGACATCTTGGCTAAACTAAGCTCATTTTATGAGATGCCTTCTGGTAGGGTGCTGGCCTTACACACTGTTTCTCATGAGTTGAGTTAGAAATGAAACCCCAAGGTGTCAGTATCTGTCACCCCTGGCCACAACAGAATGTGGGGATGAGTTGAATGCACTGAGAGGGGAACAGACTGGAAGCAACCCTCTGCTGCATGATTATTCACCTGTCCTGGCCAAAGGTTTTGCTTTTGTTTTTTTGAGACAGGGTCACCCAGGCTTTATAAAGTGCAGTGGCATGATCCTAGCTCACACCAGACTCAACCTCCCAGGCTCAAGTAACCCATGCACCTAAGCCTTTCAAGGCTTGGAATTACAGGCTCATGCCACTCAGCTGGGTGATTTTTAAAAATTTTTTGTAGAGACAGGGTCTCACTTTTTGCCCAGTCTGGTGTTAAACTCCTGTGATCAAGTGGATACTCCCACCTTGGCCTCCCAAAGTGCTGGTATTATAGACATGAGCCACTGTATCCAGCACTTGGTCAAATGTTTAAATAAATATAAAACTAGAGTAATCTTACCACTCTCATAGTAATCACTGTAAAGACTTAATTGTATAAAAACAATACCTCAACAGCACATTTGGTTTCTTGCTTTTAAAGTTTCAATGTTTTATCCACTGGCTAAGTCAACAAATGCTTGAAGTTCTCCGGTATGGAAAGCAGTTAGGATATAAGCAGATATGTGGTTTTCTCATTGGTTTCACTGAAAACCCAGCTGAAACTACTTCCAACATTAATTTCCTATTCATATAACCACAAGGCTATGATGGGAATGTCAATCAGATATGTGAATAATCAGCTAACCAGAACTTAATTTGCTATAGGAATATATGCACTTCATAATCTCTTTTCTGTATTTCCATAAACATATTTCAACTGTGTAAAATATGGTATTTCATAGAATGATCATGTTTATTAATAGTAGTTATTGAAGAAAACAATTATTACTACAGGATATGTATCTTCTTAGTTTTTGTTGTTTTTTAAATGGCTGAATAGCATACCCTTTACAAGCACAGCAAATTTTTGGACTAGAAGCTGCTGGGTTGAACTTAAATGTATATGTGTGTGTGTATACATATAAGTTGTTTATCAATAATGTTTTTAAATTTTATTTCAATCATTTTTGAGAAACGTGGTTTTGGTTACATGGATAATTTCTTTAGGAGTGACATCAGAGCTTCTGGTTCACCTACCACTTGAGCAGTGTACCCAATATGTAATTTTTTATCCATCACCCCCCTCCCAACCTCCCCCCCAGTCCCCAAAGGCCACTGTATCATTTTATGACTTTGGATTCTCATGGAGAATACATTATATTTGGTTTTCCATTCCTGAGTCACTTCACTTAGAATAACGACCTCCAGCTCCACCCAGGTTGCTGTAAAGGCCATTATTTCATTCTGTTTTATGGCTCAGCAGTATTCCATGGTATATATATTCCACATTTTCTTTACCCATTAATTGATGGGCATTGAGGCTGGCTCCACATTTTTACAATTGCAAATTGTGCTGCTATCAACATGCAGGTGCATTTGTCTTTCTCATATGACTTCTTTTCCTTTGGGTAGGCATCCAGTGTGAGATTGTTGGATTGAATGGCTGTACTGTTTTCCATAGTGGTTGTACTAGTTTACATTCCCATCAGCAGTGTAAGTGTTCCCTTTTGACCAAATCCATACCAGCACAGATGATTTTTTGATTTTTTAATTATGGTCCATTCTTGCAGGAGTAAGGTGGTATTACATTGTGGTTTTAATTTGCATTTCCCTGATAATTAGTGATGTTTCTGAAGACAAATACATCCTAACAAGACTAACAGATGTTGAAAAGTTCAAAGAAAAATCTGATAGATATTATTTTTAAAAGGTTCAATTTATAGTCAAAAAGAGACCATTATAAATAATCAACAGCAGAAGGACAAGATAAATGTCCATTAAACACTTTGTTGTAATGTTTTGCAATCTCCAAAGATCGTGAGCATAGCTCCTGATCCTTCTGCGTTCACAAACGGCACTATGTAGAGCTGGTCATCTTGGGGCTGGCCTTTGTCATCACTGCCTCTGGAGCTCATTTCTCTGTGCATTCTCTGACCTTGGAACTAGAGCTAGAGCCCCACCAGATTAGCTGCAGGTCTTGAGATCAATTTAACTGCCACTATAGTGGAGCTAAGTGTTCATCATTACAAATTTTGCTCCCTTCAAGAAACCAGTTTACAAGCTGGGCACAGTGGCTCAGGCCTGTAATCCCAGCACTTTGGGAGGCTAAGATGGATGGATCATCTGAGGTCAGGAGTTCAAGACCAGTGTGACCCATGGAGAAACAACATGGAGAAACCCCTGAAGAGGGAAATTAAATAATAACAATAGTAGTCTGTAATTGCTACATAATAAAAATTTACTCTGTTGTGTTCAATATAAAACCTAACCCCCAGCTCTGCTTGAAATTAACTAACTTCCTATAAAATCTACCTTACCTACTCTCCCTACTTTCTCAGCAAAGTTCCCAGGCATCTCAAGACTCCCGTTTTTCTTGAAGACTAGTTGCAAGGTCACAGGGTAATATAACACCCAAAGAATGTGCGATGTGTTTCTCAAAATGCGATTTTCAAACATAACATACATCACAAGACATGTCACAAGTTAACTGTCCTTTCCTCTGGCTTCTGTAAACCTGTTAGTTGCTATGTCATCCTGGCTGTATAACAAATCAAGCCCTGTCTTTGTTAGGCTCTCAGCCTTGGGATGTAAATCTGCCGAGCTGGTGGCCACCTTAATAAAATCCTCCTGTTTCACCCATTGGTCTCTCCAGGCACCTGAATATTATGTAACACCCCATCTCTACTAAAAATAAAAAATTAGCCGGGTGTGGTGGCACATGCCTGTAATCCCAGCTACTCAGGAGGCTGAGGCAGGAGAACTGCTTGAACCCAGGAGGTGGAGGTTGCGGTGAGCCAAGATCACGCCATTGCACATTGTTGCCTAGGCAGCAAAAGCAAAACTCTGTCTCTCTCTCTCTCTCTCTCTGTCTCTCTCTCTCTCTCTCTCTCACACACACACACACACACACAAACACACACAGAGAAAAGAAACCAGTTTACAGATTGACGACAGTAGTAATTAAGAGAACTTTAGCTTCTGCAACTTTCAAATGACATTCATTTTCTGTTAAATCCTTTACTAAAATGGCTACTAGCAACATCACCATGACAACTCAGTTTATACTATGAGCAAATTGGTAACTTAGCAGCCATTTGAACAGCAACCAAACATAACTAGTCTCTTCTTGGTTACAAGAAGCCTCATTTCAATTGTAAATACACACTGTGTTAATTCTGAATGAAAGTCTTTAAAATTTTTTGGGGGTACATTGTAGGTGTACATTTTGTGGGGGTATATAAGATTATTTGATACAGGCCTATGATGTGTCATAATCACAGCAGGGTAAATGGAAAATCCATCACATCTGAAGCGTGTATCTTTTTATTTATTTATTTTTACAAATAATTCAATTATACTCTTTTAGTTACCGTAAAATGTACAATTAAATAATTCTTGACTGTTGTCACCCTGTTGTGCTATCAAATACGAGATGTTATTTATTCTTTCTAACCAAATGTGTACACCTATTAACCATCACCCCTTACTCCTCTCATCCTCCATACTACTTCTACCAGCAGCTGCAAACAATTCTCCTAGTCTATACCTTCATGAGTTAAATTGTTTTAATTTTTAGTTCCCACAAATCAGTGAGAATAGGTGAATTTTGTCTTTTTGTGTCTGGCTTATTTCACTTAACATTTCCATCCATGTTGTTGCAGATAACAGGATCTCATTCTCCTTTATGGTTGAATAGTGTTCCGTTGTGTATATGAACCATTTTCTTTAGCCACTCATCTGTTGATGAATACTCAGAATGCTTCCAAATCTTGGCTGCTGTGAATAGTGCTGCAACATACATGAGAGGCAGGTATCTCTCTGATATACTGATTTCCTTTCTTTTGGGTTTATACCCAGCAGTGAGATTCCTGGATCATATGGTGGGTCTATTTTTAGTTCTGAGGACCTCCAAACTGTTCTCCGTAGTGACTGTATTTAAATTACATTCCCACTGACAGCGTACAAGGGTTACCTTTGCTCTATATCCTAGCCAGCATTTGTTATTGCCTGTTTTTACAACAAGAGCCATTTTAAGTGCGGTGAGATGATCTCTCATTGTACTTTTGATTTGCATTTCTCTGAACACCAACGATATTGATGTTGAGTATCTTTTCATATACGTGTTTGCCATTGGTATGCCTTTCTGAAGGAGTTTTCAAACAGGTCTCACTTTGTCAATCAGGTTGGAATGCAGTGGCAGAATCACAGCTCACTGCAGCCTTGACCTCCCAGGCTCAGGTAATTTTCACATCTAAGCCTTCTAAACAGCTGAAATTACGGGCACATGCCACCAAGCCTGCCTAATGTGTCCTCTTTTCAGAAATGTCTATTCAGATATTTTGCCCATTTTAAAAATCAGATTGTTATTTTTATTTCTATGGAGTTATTTGAGCTCCTTGGTATTCTGGTAATTAATCCCTTGTCAGATAGTTTTCAAATACCTTCCCGCATTCTGTGGGTTGTCACTTCACTTTGTTCAGTGTTTCCTTTGTTGTGCAGAAGCTTTTTAACTTGATGTGACCTAACTTGCCCATTTTTGCTTTGGCTGCCTGTGCTTATAAAACATTATGCAAGAAATATTTGCCCAGTCCAATATCGTAGAGAGTTTTCCCACTGTTTTATTTTAGTTTCATATTTGAGGTCTTAGATTTAGATCTATTTTTAGTTTTTTAAAAGACAGAGATACTGCATTGCCCAGAGAGTCTCGAACTCCTGAGTTCAAGCCGTTCTCCCATCTTGGCCTTCGAAAGTGCTGGGATTACAAGTGTGAGCCACCATGCCCAGCTTAGACTTACATCTTTAATCCATTTTGATTTGATGATTGTATAAGGTAAGAAATAGAGGCCTGGTTTCATTCTTCTGCATGTGGATATCCAGTTTTCCCAGCACCCCTTACCGACGAGACTGTCATTACCCCATTGTATGTGCTTGGCACCTTCATAGAGAATGAGTTCACTGCAGATGTATGAATTGGTTTCTGGGTTTCTATTCTGTTCCACTGGGCTACGTGTCTGTTTTTAATCACAGTGCCATGCTGTTCTGGTTACTACAGGTGTAGAGGGTAATTTGAAATTAGATAACGTAATTCCCCCAGGTTTGTTTTTGCTCAGGTTAGCTTTGGATATTCCGAGTCTTTTGTAGTTGCCTATATATTTTAGGATTCATTTTTTTATTTCTATTTCTGTGAAGAATGTCATGGCTTTTTGCAGAATTGTGGAGGTTCCACATTGGTGGTCTGAGATCAGACCTGAAGGAATTCTCTAGATTAATGGACAGAGACTCGCTTCTTCACTTACTTTCCCACAAATGAAGTCTGTCTCTCTGTGCTAAGCTGCCTGGAGCTGGGATAGGAGTGATACAAGCACCCCTGTGGCCATGACCTCTGGGACAGCACTAGGTCTGTCCAGATGGCACTAGGAGTTGCAGTCCTTGTGACCTAGGCAGACTTTCAGGTTCATTAAGGACCCCAGACTATTTTATCCCATGGCAGCCAGGCTTTCACCACTCAAGTTCCAACCACGGGGATGAATAATTCCCCTATGGTTGGGGCTAGTCTAAATGTTTTTTCTGTGGGTGGGCTTTGGGTGGATTCAGCTTTGTTTTGTGTTCTGCTATGACGAGGCAGCACTGAGTTCAGGCAAAGTCCCACAGCTGCTGTGCTCTCCCTTCCCCAAGCACGTAGCCTCTCTCCTTGCCACAGGTTCACAGTGGTGGCATCAACAATTCAAGACTGTCTTTTCTATGCTCTACGGTGCCTCTTTCACTGATACGACATTAAAACCACGTCATATGAACAATTAAATAATTTTCAGTTCTTATGGAGGTGCTTTTTTATTTAGATAGTTGCTAAAGTTGTTATTCCTGTGGGAAGCACAATTGGCAGAGACCTCTATTTGTGACTGCATACATCCTGAATCACAGTCTTATCTGGAGTAATAGGCAAATGTAAAAACAAAGAAACAAAGAAACAAACAAAAAACAAAAACCTCTTGCCACTGCCTGAGGATCTTCATCTTCATACGCTTCATGTACTTCTATGTCATCAAGAGGCGTTCCTTCAGATTTTCCTAAGTGTCACTCACAAAGCCATTCTCACTGTCTAGTGGACACTGTGAGAGCCTGTGCCGGAAATGCCTCCCTGGCTCACCCTACCAACCAACTCCAAGACCCTTCCCTTTACAGCAGTCATGAGGCCAGGCTGAAAGACCCATGAAGCTCCTATTTCTGTGTCATGTTGCCGTCTATGAGCAATCCCATGATTCAGCAAGATTTCTTGCATTCTCATAGATACCTTGGGGCCCCCCAAGTGCTGCTGTGGTTGCATTAATGCCCTGGGAACCTCCTGAGTGTGGTGAGCATGGGGTGATTCCCCAGCAATGTTTCTCAGACTGCCTGAGGGGAACACTGGAACTTCTAACTCATCAGCCCAGTGATGCAACACTCCTAATGGGGAGAGGACAGGGGCACAGGGAACTGTGGCTATTCTGTATCTCAAGGTTTCTATAAAATGGATCTTCAGAGAAAAGCGGGAGAACACCAGCAAATGCAAATACACAACATATGGCTCAGGGTGAAGCTATACTTCACAGTGCAGAGGCCCCAAACCTGTCAATGGGCAAACAATTATTTCAAAGGCCAGATATGCACTCCTCACAAAGGGACTAGAACTTGCAGACAGCTTGTAAAAGCTGTAAGGAAATTGACTGTACTATCATGTTTCTCATTGTACACTGGTAAGATATTTGCCAAAAACATTCACCAGAAAAAGACTTTTCCATTTATGAGATCATTACAATGGCAATTTACCAAGACCTACCAATGAAGAGTGAAAAATATGACTGTTCTTTTAAAGCTGGGGAGAAAGAGTATGTGGTATTTATGCCCATTCTTATTATCTGCATAATGTAACCTTTAAAAGTATTTCTCAAAGTGTTTACATTTATGGGAGCAAATAAAGTATTCAAAAATGGTTAGAAAGTTCACAAAAACCATACAAACTCACATATCGTCAACTGTAATTTTCTCAAAGAGCTTGCATAAGTTCTCATTGCACTGAGCCACATTGCTCCCAACCTTGACGACAAGAAGAATGGCCCCAAAGACAATCCTCCTCCAGTTGGTTGGGCAAATATTGATATCAGCACACTCTAGAAGTCTTCTTACGTATACCTGCAAAACAGAGCACTGGCCTTTGATTTAGCTCAGTTTAAGTGCTGTGATAAGAACACCTATGAAAAACCAGAAAACTTCTGGTTTTGACCAGGAAGTAGATGCCTTTTATTCTTATGTTCTACAGAGACTTTGTTTCATCAGGTTAAGTAAGAGGCCATATCACAATCATAGCCCAAATATTTCTGCTACCTACTCAGCCCAGCGGGGGTAGATTAACACATCCAAGGAAGAATGAACTGAGGGCAGTAGCTCTCAATCACAACATACATGAGAACTGCCTGGGGATACACCCTGGGACTCAGCTTAGACCTACAATGGCATGCATTCCTGCCCATGAACCAGATGGTCTTGTTACTGCTCTTCATTCCAAGCCCTCCACATGCCCTGGATGTGTGTGCACTGCATGTGCATGTGTGCACTGAAGTGTGGGGGGAGAAATCAGAAATCCCTCCGGCTGCCTTTAATAGCAATTGTTCTGTAATGAGAAATGCAATGCAACATTTAAGCCATAATGATGATTCAACTCAAATGTGTGTATTTGCTTTCATAAGTTTCTCTTAAAGATCTGAGATAATTTCAGAAACCAACTTTCATTTAAAATCAGGAACATACTACCCTGTTTACAAGATCAATTTCTTTTTTTTTTGGAAATAGAGTCCTGCTCTGTTGCCTAGGCTGAAGTACACTGACTTGATCTCAGGTCACTGCACTCTGCCTCCTGAGTTCAAGCAATTCTCTTGCCTCAGTCTCCCGAATGGCTGGGACTACAGGGGCATGCCACCATGCCTGGCTAATTTTTGTATTTTTGGTAGAGACAGGGTTTAACCACATTGGCCAGGTGGCTCTACAAGACCAATTTCTAAAGATGCTTTATAAATAGAAAATATCTTACCAAGCTTATGATTGTTAAGTAAGCATTTAGCTTTTTGGCTTTGCACAGGGTACGCAAAAATCTTAAAATCACTTTGTGTGTAGGATCATACTTAAAGTATTCTTCCACAACCTCTCCTTGCTGAAAGAAGAAAGGATGCATGTAAGTATCCATTGAAGAGAAAACCTGAAGTGCTCTTAAGACAGCAGTGTTCACATTTGTGTCCATGTATCATTTACAATAATTTTGACTGGGGAGGTATCTTTCAGTTTTTACAATAAGAACAGTGGGATCTTAAAATACTGTAATGATTTAATACTCATCAACATTCACTTAAAAATCGTATCAGGTAAAGTTCAGAAAATTTTTGTTCTTTTTTAGTCTTTGCCCCACACAATTCTATCCAAATGTAAGCTACTCTTAGGCTTTAATGTCTTACTGATGGTATGTCATTCTCTGCAATAAACTTTGAGAAAATACAGTTTCCTGTAACCATGACGCTCTAAGCCTACGGTGTTAAATACAATAGTCACTAGCCAAATGTGGCTATTATGTACTTGAGGAAGTACATTTTTAAATTTTTATAACATGTAGGTTGATTTAAACTTAAATTATTTTTAACTGTCTTCATAAAAGTCATGCTTCTGTGTTAAAAGTATATACATATACTCACATTGCTTGATGCTACTAATAACTGTCTTTTAAAAGATACATTTTCTGTTATTTCGATAGTAGATTTACTCATACTAGTTCACTAACTAAAGAGAGCCGCAGATCAGTTCTTATTCTAACACATTCTTTCTACAACACCTAAGGGGACTAAATGCAACATGAAATGGGGAGGATTTAAAGATGGCTTTGACATCAGCATGAAACAAATACAAGTCTATGATAAAAATACAACCTCAATAAAAGTGCCACTTACGTTAAATGGGAATATATGTTCATCAAATATTTCCAAAGTTCTATTTTCATCTCTATAAAATAAGAATGTGCGTTACTTCAAAAACTGTGAATATCGTAGTATAATACCTTTTTAGTATAATAATGCCTCCTATGTGCTTTGGTGTTAACTTCACCAAAGCAAACAGTTTTTACAAATTCTTCTCCTGGATCCTGAACTGCAGAATGTTTCCCAACCTCTTCTTCCTCAGCACATCATATCCTGTACTGTGAAGTCTTTTTCACAATAACCAGTCAGAGCTGCCTATAGGTATTGACCCTCCCTAACAGGCAATGACAATAAACCAAACATATTTTCTCTCTTCTTAACCACACATTGAAACACAAGAATGTTTTACAAAGCAGTAGTGGTGGGCAATAAAGTCTTTAGGACTTCAATAAATGTAAATGTGATTCCGATTTCCTAGCTTCCTTTCTTTTTAGTCCTCTGTAGTATACTTTCATGATGAATTTATTTATTTTCTGTTGTTTGAATTAAAAACTCATCTGCCCTTTTATTTTAAAAGAACCTAGTCTTTGATTAACTTTAAATTCTGTAAAACTAATGCATTCTGCCTGTGTGATAAACCAGTGGTTCTTGAAATGTGCTCTGTGGACCTCTGGGGATCCTGAAGACCCTTTCTGAGAAGGCCTAAGAAGTCAACCCTGTTTTGTTTTGTTTTTCTGAGATGGAGTTTCACTCTTGTTGCCCAGACTGGAGTGCAATGGTGGGATCTTGGCTCACTGCAACCTCCGTCTCCCAGGTTCAGTTGATTCTTCTGTCTCAGCCTCCTGAGTAGCTGGGATTACGGGCACCCACCACCACACTCAGCTAACTTTTGTATTTTTAGTAGAAATGGGGTTTCTCCATGCTGGCAAGGCTGGTGGTGAACTCCTGACCTCAGGTGATCCATCTGCTTGGCCTCTCAAAGTGCTGGGATTACAGGCCTGAGCCACCGTGTCTGCTGGACACTGTTCTGATAATCGTACTAATTCAACCTCAGAAAGCTGATACAAAAAAATGTTTTTTAATTAGGAAAGTAATACAAAGACACTGACTACTTTTTCATAGACACTTGCCATAACTGTATAAAAGCAACAGTGGATAAAGCTGCTGGTTTCTCAGCCTAAATCAAGGCAGTGGTACCAATTACACTGGTAGTAATTCTGTTCTTTATTGTCCCTTACAGTTAAAAAGCAGTCTAAAGTCCTTAAGAATGTCTTTGTTGAGGCGGTAAAAATTAATGGTGTTACTAAATCTTGACATGTCTTTTTGATATTCTGAATCAGTAGAAAGCTAAGAAGAAGCGCTTCTGCTAACTGCAGTATGGTTGTGCTTAAAAAAATTCATGATTTAATTGTGAGCAGAACAATCACTTTTTACACAGACATCATTTTTATTTAAAAGTATTACTGTGCCGGTGCAATGGCTCACACCTCTAAAATCCAAACCCTTTGGCAGACAAAGCAGGCAGATCGCTTGAGCTCCTTGAGATGTTCGAGAGTAGCCTAGGAAGCATGGTGGAACTCTGTCTCTACCAAAAACACACAAAAATTAGCCAGACGTGGTGTCACACCTCTGTGGTCCCAGCTACACAGGAGTCTGAGGTGAGAGAATTGCTTGAGCTGAGATCATGCCAATGTACTACAGCCAAGTGACAGAGTGAGGCTCAGTCTAAAAAAAGGGGACAACTATCATTCTCAAAAATAAATGAACGGAGGCTGTCACGTCAGGGAAAATAAATATGTGTTCCCAATGATAAATTAAGCTTTCCTGAGGACTTTGAAAATCTGGCTCCTTCTACTGTAGGCTTGACAGCTTTTCAATACTTAAAGACTTTTACAATAATATTGGTGGTTAAAAGTGATTTTTGACACAAGAAAACATAAACCAATATATTCCAAATAACTAATGCATGATAGTATAAATGCAAGTATGGGGGGAAAGATCCATTTACCATGCAAGACAGATTAGTGAGTGCTGACCAAATAAATTTATTAATATGTATAATACCACTGCAACTAATTTTAAAAAGTAGCACTTGCCAAGTTTTCACTTACTATTAAATACACACAGCTGTCTCAAAGCTTTAAAAATGCACCTTTTACCAACTACATATTTGCATGAGATTAGGTCATGTCATTGCTTCCCTTTTTTGACTACAGGCATGCACTATCATGCCCAGCTATTTTTTGTATTTTTAGTAGTGATGGGTCTCACCATGGTGGCCAGGCTGGTCTCAACCTTCTGACCTCAAATGAATCTGCCCGCCTTGGCCTCCCCAAAGTGCTGGGATTGCAGGTGCCTCCCACCACACCTGGCCATTTTATTGCTTCTTAAGGCAAATTGCAAAGAAAGACCTAGAGAATCCAGCTGTCTTCTATTAAGTGCGACATTCAAGGTTTTCAATAATATAAATACATGACACACTTTTTACTCAACTTTTTGTTGTAGAAAATCTATTTTCTCATTAAAAATTTTATGTTAACAATATTGTTCTCAAGGAGTATTTTCTGTTGTCACAACCTGGATCATGGGGTACGACTGACATCTACTTGGTACAGGCCACCAGTTCTGCTAAACCTTCTGCAATGCACAGGACAGTCCTCGTGACAAAGCGTTATCAAGGTATCAAGATATCAACAGTAGTAAGGCTGTGAAATCTAAACTAAAAATAGATTTTGAAAAAAATCTCAATTTTATAGTTCTATGACAGTAAATATCAATATCATCAATATAAATACATACTCTTTGAGATTCCCAATCATTTAAGAATTAAAAGTGTTGAGGACCAAAGAAAACACAAATAATTTGCTTGGACATTTTAGTAGGCCCAATACAGCTCATGATGTCTAGAGCTGTGACCTAAAGAGCTGGATAGCTTGCAAAGTAATTAGCCAGAATAACAAGACAGTTTTTTTAAAAGCTCACCTTTCCTTGATAAGAAGATATATCTCCAAGGCCACACTGTGGAAGGAAAAACATTCATAACAATAGATGTTATCATTTGTTAGGTCTGAAGACATTTTTTTAAAAGGGCGTGGTGGAAACTCTCCTAGGAGAACTGAAATTAAAACCTTCTAGTTCAGAACAGTACCATAAAGGCACTTTCTTGTTTTCATTTCTTGGGTTTTAGCAAAAATATGAGAACAAAAATGCAAGGCAATACAATACACTGTTAGAAAACATGTTTCTGTAGATGATTATAATATATAAATAATAACATATTTCCCTGTTATATGTTCTTCTACCCACAAAACCTTTCATCACATGCAATTTATTTTATGTATTTATTTATTGTGTGACCCAGAGTCTTGCTCTGTAGCCCAGAGCAACCTTGGCTCACCACAACCTCCACCTGCCGAGTTCAAGCAGTTCTCATGCTTCAGCCTCCCAAGTAGCTGAGACTACAGGTTGGTGCCACTATGCCCGGCTAAGTTTTGTATTTTTAGTAGGGATGGGGTTTTGCCATGATGGTCAGGTTGATCTCAAACTCCTGGCCTCAAGTGGTCTGCCTGCCTCAGCCTCCCAAAGCGTTGGGATTACAGCTTGAGCCGCCACACCCTGACTCATGCAATTTATATCTATGTGTACATATGTTTAAATTTCAGCCACACAGTAGTGGTTTCTTTTTTAAGATGTTAGGCCCTGCATTTTAGTTTAGTTCACTTTCTCCTACCCACCCATTTTTTAAATTATTTCCCAAAAAATGCATAACATAATGAAAGTGCTTTATAACAAATAAAATTATTTGAAATTGCTTTTGCATAATTACTAGAAAATGTATTAGTAAACATAAGCTCACATGACATCAATGACAGGTACAGCAATCCTAAAATACGCAGTGCGAACAAGGTAGTGTAACACAACACAGTATAATATCAATTGCATGTATCTTCAGTTAGTTTAACTGCATTATTTATGAACAGATACAACTCTTCAGATATATGTAACTGTACTCCTAAGTTACCCACTGATGCTGTGTATCAGAAAACAAGAGGTTCTCTTACGTAAGTTATGTGCTTCCATTTGCCCTCAGCAACTACAATGAGGTTCAAAATAACTGAGGGAAGGCAAACCTCAATTTTAGTAATAGCACTTTTTAAAAAGCCTGTAACATTAGCACTTCAGATGGATATGTCTATAGTACTTGAAGTAGTTTTCATCTCTGAAATAATTTTAAAATCACAGAATTTGAAGTTATATGCTGGAAAGGACCAATGACCTTACAAGACATTTAATTCAACACTTATTTTACAGGTCAGGGAAACAAATCTTAAAACTGACTTTCCCAAGGTCCCAACAAATAGGAGCAGTTTCTTGCCCTAAACTCAAATTAGGCAGTGGCTCTAAATTTTGCTGCATAATAAAATCACCTGAGAAGCTTTAATAACTGCCTGATTTTCAATAATTAGCATTGGATATAACTTTGGCCATCAGGGTTGTTGGTAAAAGTTTCCCAGGTGATTTCAAAGCAAAATTTGAAATGATTGAGTTGGGGTGAAAATCAGAATCTTCTGGGATGCTTTTCTTCACATAAAGATGCTATGTTTTCCTAAAAGGCTTCTCAGTGCCTGGAGATAGAGGGAAAGTGGAGATTGGAGGACACATGTATTTGCAGACATGTATTTTGAAGACAAACTTTGCAAAAGTGATCCCAATGAGTTCCACCTATCCCACTGATAACAGTGCACTACTAACTTGTGATGAACATTTTTCAAAGTCTTTTCCCGAAGCCAATTTGCCCTATTAATTTGCTCAATAAACCTCTATTTCACCAAGAGTGAATACACCAAATGATCATTTCCCAAACTTGCTGATGGCAAATTAAAACTTACTTTACTTTTGAAAGTAGACTTCTAAAAATTAGAAGAATGAGGAAAAAAGCATGAAATTTGTTTGAACAAGGCTATCTTCAAAGCTACTTTGGAATTCTAGACTAACACATAAAAATCGTTTGAATTCAAAAGCAGCCAGGGACTTTAGCCAAAGTAGTTTGTTTGTTTGTTTGTTTGTTTTTATGCTCAAAAATTTAAGAGACAGCCAGGTGTGGTGGCTCATGAGTATAATCCCAGCACTTTTGGAGGCAGAGGTGGGCAGATCACCTGAGGTTGAGAGTTTGAGACCAGCCTGACTAACACAGAGAAACCTCAATTCTCCAAAAAAAAAAAAAAAAAAAAAAAAAAAAAAAAATCAGCTGGG